TTTTTACTTGTCTGGTTTCTACAATTACTCCAGATAATGTACTCACATCAGAAGGTTTGGAGCTAGGAACTTCAAATAGAGAACATGTGAGATGTGTCCTTCTGGTCTGGGTAACCTCACTCAGGATGATCTTTCCTAGTTCCATCCATTTACCTGACAACATCCTAGAGAAGGATGTCAAGACAATGGACTTTTTTTTAAATTAATTTTTTTATTGGATATTTTATTTAAATTTCAGATGTTAATGCCCTTTCCCCATTTCCCCACCCACCCAGAAACCACCTATCCTATCTCCCTTCCTCCTGCTTCTATGAGGATGTACCCCCAGCCACCCAATCACTCCCACCTCCCCACCCTCGAATTCCCAAACACTGGGGTGTCCAGTCTTCATGGGACCAAGGATTTCCTCTCCCCGCTATGCCTGACAAGGCAGCCATCCTCCCCTACATATACAGCTGGAGCCATGGGTCCCTCCCTATGTGCTCCCAGGCTGGTGGTTTAGACTCTAGGAGCTTTGGTTGGTTGGAATTGTTGCTCTCCTCATGGGGCCTCAAACCCTTTCAGCTCCTTCAGTCTTCTCTCTAACTCCTCCATTGGGGACTACTTGATCAGATCAATGGTTAGTTGTGAGCATCCGCCTCTGAATATGTCAGACTCTGGCAGACCTCTAAGGAGACAGCTATATCAGGCTCCTGTCAGCATGCACTTCCTGGTATCCAGAACAGCGTCTACTTTTGGTGACTGCACATGGGATAGATACCCAGGTGGAATTGTCTCCAGACGACCCCTCCTTCAGTTTCTGTCCCACACTTTGTCTCCATATTTGCTCCCTTGAGTATTTTGTTGCTCCTTCTAAGAAGGACTGAAGCACCCACACGTTGGTCTTCCTTCTTCATGAACTTCGTGTAGTCTGTGAGTTGAATCTTGGGTATTACGAGCTTTTGGGCTAATATCCACTTATCAGTGAGTGTATACCATGTGTGTTCTTTTGTGACTGGGTTACCTCAGTCAGGATATTTTCTAGTTCCATCCATTTGCCTAAGAACTTCATGAAGTCATCGTTTTTAATAGCTGAGTAGTACTCAATTGTATAAATGTACCACATTTTCTATATTCATTCCTCTGTTAAAGGACATCTGGGTTCTTTCCAGCTTCTGGCTAGTAAAAATAAGGCTGCTATGAACATAGTAGAGCATGTGTCCTTGTTATATGTTTGAGTATCTATCTTTTGGGCATATTCCCAAGAATGGTTGGTATAGCTGGGTCCTCAGGTAACGCTATATTCACTGATTTCCAAAGTGGTTGTATCAGCTTGCAATCCCACCAACAATGGAGGAGTGTTCCTCACCACATCCTTCCTCGACAGCATCTGTTGTCACCTGAGTTTTTAATCTTAGCCATTCTGACTGGTGTGAGGTGGAATCTCAGGGTTGTTTTGATTTGCATTTTCCTGATTACTAAGGATGTTGAACATTTCTTTAGGTGCTTCTCGGCCATTGGAGATTCCTCAGTTGAGAATTCTTTGTTTAGCTCTGTACTCCATTTTTTAAAAGGGTTGTTTGGTTGTCTGGATTCTAATTTCTTGGGTTCTTTGTATATATTGGATATTAGCCCTCTATCTGATGTAGAATTGATAAAGATCTTTTCCCAATTTGGTGGTTGCTGTTTTGTCCTATTGACATTGTCCTTTGTCTTACAGAAGCTTTGCAATTTTATGAGGTCCCATTTGTCAATTCTTGATCTTAGAGCATAAGCCATTGGTGTTCTGTTCAGGATCTTTTCCCCTGTGCCCAAGTATTTGAGGTTCTTCTCCACCTTCTTTTCCATTAGTTTCAGTGTATCTGGTTTTATGTGAAAATCCTTTATCCACTTGGACCTGAGCTTTGTAAAAAGGAAATAAGAATGGATCCATTTGCATTCTTCTACATGCTTACCTCCAGTTGAACCAGCACCATTTGTTGAAAATGCTGTCTTTTTTCCACTGGATAGTTTTAGCTCCTTGGTCAAAGATCAAGTGACCATAGGTGTGTGGGTTAATTTCTGGGTCTTCAGTTCTATTCCATTTATCTTCCTGCCTGTCTCTGTACCAATGCCATGTAGTTTTTATCAGTATTGCTCTGTGGTACAGCTTGAGGTCAGGAATGGTGATTGCCCCAGAAGTTCTTTTATTGTTGAGAATAGTCTTCGCTATCCTAGGTTTTTTTGTTATTCCAAATGAATTTGCAAATTGCTCTTTCTATCCCTATGAAGAATTTTGATGGGAATTGCATTGAATCTGTAGATTTGCTTTCGGCAGGATAACCAATTTTTACTATATTAATCCTGCCAATCCAAGAGCATGGGAGATCTTTCCATCTTCTGAGATCTTCTTCAATTTCTTTCTTCAGAGACTTGAAGTTCTTGTCATACAGATCTTTCACTTGCTTGGTTAGATTCACACCAAAGTATTTTATTTGTGACTATTGTGAAGGGTGTCATTTCCCTAACTTCTTTCTCAGCCTGTTTATCCTTTGAGTAGAGGAAGGCTACTGATTTGAGTTGATTTTATAACCAGCCACTTTGCTGAAGTTGTTTATCAGGTTTAGGAGTTCTCTGGTGGAAGTTTTGGGGTCACTTAAGTATACTATCATATCATCTGCAAATAGTAAGATTTTGACTTCTTTCCAATTTGTATCCCTTTGACCTCCTTGTGCTGCCTAATTTCTCTGGCTAGGACTTTCAGTACTATATTGAATAAGTAGGGGGAGAGTGGGCAGCCTTGTCTAGTCCCTGATTTTAGTGGGATTGCTTCAAGTTTCTCTCCATTTAGCTTGATGCTGGCTACTGGTTTGCTGTAAATTGCTTTTACTATGTTTAGGTATGGGCCTTGAATTCCTGATCTTTCCAAGACTTTTATCATGAAGGGGTGTTGAATTTTGTCAAATGCTTTCTCAGCATCTAGTGAGATGATCATGTGGTGTTTTTTTTGAGTTTGTTTATATAGTGGATTATGTTTATGGATTTCTGTATATTGAACCATCCCTGCATTCCTTGGATAAAGCCTACTTGATCATGGTGAATGATTGTTCTGATGTGTGACAATGTACTGTAGATAGAGCTGCAATGACTTACACATCCCTTCATGTGAAAATGTAAGTTAGGCAGGAGAGCTGCAACTTAGTCACCCCACAGTAATCCCCATTTACTAACTGAACTGTTGGGGAGGGGGGAATAGCTTTAATCCTAGCATTCCAGAGGGAGAGGAAAGAGGATCTCTGAGTTTGAGGCCAACCTGGTCTACAGAGGGTTCTAGGAAAGCCAGGACTATGTATAGAGAGCTTGTCAATAGGCATAATGACAATAAATAAATAAATAAATAAATAAATAAATAAATAAGTATACAAAGCTTTCCTCCCCCCCCCAGCTCTTTCTGGCTTCTTTTTCTTTAATTCTGATCTTCAGTTATCTTTCCTGTATATCCTCCCTCCTCCCTGATTTCCTTTTCTTTCTTTTTTTTTTTTTAAAAGAGTCAGCAGTCACTATGGCTTTACCAGTGGTAGTCATGCTCTTACCTCAGCCTACTGACCATGGGAATGACAGACCTGAGCCACCACAGCCTGCTTTTTGGATGTGATCAAATTTCTCCTCTCCTAATATTGTTCCCTAAAGCCAACTAGTTTACTTCCCCCGGGGTGCTAGTCACAATATGTAGTGATTTGTTCCATTTTGTTAAGTGAATTTTTGTTTGGTTTGTTCTGAGCCAGGACCTCACCAAGTAGCTCTAGTTGCCGTTGAACCATGCTGTTTTCAATCTCAGATACCTGCATCTTCCTCCCAAACTGGAATTAAAGGTGTGAGCCACCAAACTGGGCTGATTTTTTTTAACTTGTAAGGAAATTAAAAGCCCAGCCAGTAGGGCAATGGTCATATAAATCTTTGATCCCTACACTTGGAAGGCAAAGACAGGGAGATCTCTGAGATTGAGTCCAGCCTAGTCTGCAGAGCAAGTTCTAGGACAGCCAGAGAAATAATCCTGTCTCAGGAAAAGAAAAGAAAAGAGAAAAGGAAAAAGAAAAAAAAGAAAATCCTCTCAAGATTAAATTGTAATTTTCCCTTCACAAGGCAGATAAAAATATTGAATGCAGAACCTGGTATGGTAGCTCATGCCTGTAATCCCAGTACTTGGAAATTTGAGGCAGGAGGATAGCTGTGAATTCCAAGATCACTCTCAGCCTGATTGATACTTTCTCAAAACACAAAACAAATTATGAATGCTCACTTGAAGTTCAAGTATACCTGGTAGCATTTTCTTTTTGTTTGGTTTGGTTTTTGAGACAGGTTCTAACAAAGCCAGACAGACTGTTGAGACCCATAACTGCCCTACTTCAGCGTCCCAAATACTGGGATGAAATGTGTGGGTAAGCACTCCAACTATCGTCAGGGATTTTTATTTGGCTGTCTTAACCCCGAGGCACCTGACCCTGGTCTCACTTGTACAGGAATCTAAGTAGGTATTCAGCAATCGTTCTATATGGGTGCTATTTTTGTGATGTCATCAAGTCCTGTTTTCACTTAACACTTACTTAGCAGATTCTTCCAACGTATTACTTATTGCTCAAGAAAATTTGTCAGTTATGGAGTAGCAACAAAACTTCTTTGTTTCTTATTTCTACAGCGTTGGTATTGTACTAGGTACCATTCTCACCTTGCTTTTGGAATTAGGATTTTCATGCAAAAGTAAAAGTTTTGCACCTTGCTTAACCTACTAGGTCGCTCAATAAATTTACTTCTCTAGTCAATAAATCCGGTACACTGTTTTAGCATAAAGCTAAAAGGCATCTTGGAGGAGAATGGATGGGGGCAGGGCAAACGGTTAAAATTCTGCACCGGCCAGAACTTTAAGAGACACAGGAAAGAGGCGGAGTGACTAGTGAATGACAAAGGAGACGGCCAATGAAGAGTCTGAGAACCAGTCCCTTCCCTCCCTTCGTGCTTCAAATTCTAAGCTTAATTTCCATCCGGGTTCTTCAGCCTCGTTCCCGGGTAGTATAAAGATTGCTGTCTCCTTTGTTCGCCCTCGTTGCGCAGTCGTCCTAGCGTCATTTCTGTTCCGTTCTGAAAATCGGTAGCTGTCACTGGTGCTGCACTGCTCGGGAGGCCCCGTCTGGCGAGCTCATAGGAGCTTGAGACCGTCGCAGTCCCCTCGGGTAGGACCTTCCTTTCCTTGACCTGTTTTCCATACAGACTTGTCATGTTAAGGCTGGATATCATTTGCTTCCCGGGAGATAGTGGCGGCGGGCGCCATTTTAAGACACCCAAAGGTGTCAGCCTATTTAAAGCAGAAGGGGTGGAAGCAACACACTAAGGGGTCCGTTATCTTGGGTGCGTCTCCCGGAGGTTTGGCTGTCCCCTGTCGCTGGAGGGCGGAGGGCGCAGCTTTGTAGGTGGGGCGGGACATTCAGGGACCGCGGGAGTAGCACCAGAATAGCGTCGGGTGCCAATGATAGGTTGGTGGACTTCTCTGCGGGTTCCGCTGGTCCTCGGCAGTAGGGAGAGGAAGTCTTCAGAGTTTTCGCTGCTAGTGTCAATGCAAAAGTTAGTTCGCCCGGAGGTTGTTGGTGGTTCTGGGTTGGATCCAAGTGTCGCCATTTTGTCTTTAACACGCGGTTTTTAATGAGTGTTAATTAGGTGCCAGGACTAGAAACGAGTGTTAAGAGTGTGTGATTCCGAATTCCGTTATTTTCCAACTCTGCTACTTTTATCTTTTAAATCGGATAACAATCTTTCGTTGGGCTAGATGCGACTTGGTTCTAAGTTTTGTTCCTAAACTTAACTAGGAAATCTAAATGTGGAAAGGGCTTGCTCTTTACTTGGTGCGTCTGGCTGGTGACCTTGAATGAATAGGAAGTCTTTTATACCTTTCGCTGCGGGTTGGGGGCGGGAAGGGGGGCGGGTAGCAAGTAGGGTGATAAGTAACAGAATGTTTTAAAGATAAGAGATCAATACCTTAGCCAGGTGTGGTGGCCCTCTTCTATTAATTCCTGCACTATAAAGGCTGCAACCTTGTACTAAAAAGTAAAATACATTTAGAAGTAAAAGTAGCCTTTTCAAGTGTTGAGTAGCTGTTCATTGACTAAAAACTGTCAGGGCAGATGAAAATGGTAAATTAGGCAGGCTTTTTAAACCCCGTTAATGAAAATTGTGCTACACTGTTAGCCAAAGTATTTTAATTGGTTTTCTTCTGTACTTGAGGTTTATCAGTGTCTTTAGTTACTAAATAATAAAGATTTTAATAAAACATGAGCCATAATTAAGCTATTCAATAAACTTTGGGGACTTTCTCCAGAGAGGTAATAATATCATTTTTCAGCAGACCCCTCCCATCAGTTGAGAGGAAAAATGGTTGAAGCAGACCGCCCAGGAAAGCTCTTTATTGGTGGGCTTAATACAGAAACAAATGAGAAGGCTCTTGAGGCGGTGTTTGGCAAATATGGACGAATAGTAGAAGGTGAGTTATCGAAAATTATATGCTATATTAATATTATTAAAAGACAAGCTGTGATGAATTTGAATCCACTGATCATCTGACATGATAGTGTATTTTGTCCTCTAAGAAGTGCTGAGCTTGTTTTTTGCAAATATGCTGATTATCTTTGTTTGAATGGAAGTAACCCCCTCAACTGTTTCAGTGCTTTTGATGAAGGACCGAGAAACCAATAAGTCAAGAGGATTCGCTTTTGTCACTTTTGAAAGCCCAGCAGATGCAAAGGATGCTGCCAGAGACATGAATGGAAAGGTATGATTGTTTAATAAAAAGGTGTTCCTTGGTGACAAAAATAACTAAAGTGTTATCCAAGCTTCAGAGAAGCTCTGGAATTCTTATTTTGTGTATGTATGCATAGCCAGAGACTTTTGATCACAGCCACTACTCTCCTGAATTTTATTTTATTGTATTTTTGGGGGGTCAGTTTGACTTGATGTATATAGTTTTTTGTCTTGACTATATAGATCAGGCTGACCTCAAACTCACAGATCCTCCCCTGCATGCTAGAAATAAAAGACCGTCTCCAGTCTCTAGTCTGATTTTATTGTGATTCCACAACCAAATTTTGTGGCTAATGAGTTATTTCAGAACAGTATATAATGATGTTATGTGATATCTTGTATATCTTAGAAGCCATAAAACATAATTTGATAACTTAGCTCTTTTTGTTTTGGTAACAACTTGAATACATACTTAGACTTTTATTTTCCTAAGGAGTAGTATAGTGAATCTCTTGCATCTAGTAGAAATTTTAAGTGAATGGAACTCTATTATATATAGAAATAGTATTTCCATCATTTATCCTATGATATTTGGCAGATAAAACTTTTAAAGGGCCTATTGGAGTCACAGGGCATAGCGGATCTTTTAAGTTTTCTTTAAATCTTGATACAATTTAATTTTTTTTCCTCTTTGAAGTCCTTAGATGGAAAAGCCATCAAGGTGGAGCAAGCCACCAAACCATCATTTGAAACTGGTAGACGTGGACTACCTCCACCTCCAAGAAGCAGAGGCCCTCCCAGAGGTCTTCGAGGGGGAAGAGGAGGAAGTGGAGGAACCAGAGGACCCCCCTCACGGGGAGGACATATGGGTAATGATTGGAACTCAGGCTTGGGGTTTTAAGTTAAGCTATAGATCTACACTGGTGTGTACAGTCTTTCAAAGGCTAAAATAGCCTTTGAAATGGAGACTGACCACTGTGCTCATGACTTGAAAGGAAAATGTGGAAGGCCCAAATTAAATTACAGTGTTAAAATTATGGACCACATAGTCTTACCAAGTTAAATAAATAAATAAATAAATAAATAAATAAATAAATAAATAAATGAAGGGCAGGATTGGAGGTTACCCAGACCATTCTTTTTCCTAGTCTACAGGAGGTCTGGATTTCTGAAACAGTCTCCCTTGTTAATTGAGGCTGGTCCTGAACTCTTGTCATGCTTGCTCTTGCTCAATGGAAAACAAACCCAGCGTCCCCAACTAAGCAGAAAAGATAATGTTGTGACGCAGGATAATGTTGTGACTCACGAGCATGCACATAATTGTGTTTTTTCCCTTGAGGCAAATAGTTTTTAGTCTTTTTCTTGGGTGTTATTTTTTTAATTATTGTGTTAATGTATTTTCTTTCTATTCTAATATAGATGATGGTGGCTATTCCATGAATTTTACCCTCAGTTCTTCAAGGGGACCTCTTCCAGTAAAAAGAGGACCACCACCACGAAGTGGAGGTCCTCCTCCTAAAAGATCAGCACCGTCAGGACCAGTTCGTAGCAGCAGTGGAATGGGGGGAAGAGGTAGGTGTGACATGTATTCAAATCTGGCCTGCTATGTTGAAGCCGGGCATGGTGGTGCAAGTCCAATCCCAGCACTGGTGTGTGAGGGGTGTGTGTGTAGGAGGAGGATCGACAAGAGTTCAACACTAACGTGGAGCAACCTTTTTTTTAAATGCTTGGTCACTGAGATGACTCAGTGGGTAATACATTTGATTAAATGTATTTATAACATTTGATTAAATGTTTTTATAGCCTGTGCTATTTGAGCACAAGAACTTGAATCCAGTCCCCATTCACACACAAAAGTGGAAAAGGCATTGACTACAGAATTGTTCTCATCTACATTTGCGCCACGACAGGCACAAAAGCCTCCACCATAAATGCACAGTAATACGTTTTGTTTAAATGATTATGCTTAAGATTGATTGATGGATTCCAATTAATCTCATTTATAATTAGTGGGCACTGAAATTATGTGACTGGGAAGCTTCCTGTGTTAGCTACATAGCATATATGATTAAATCAGTTTTATATAGCCTCAGTATAACCACATTTTAGCTTGTCGATGGCTAGATTTTAATGATTACTTTTTCTTTTAAGCCCCTGTGTCACGTGGAAGAGATGGTTACGGAGGTCCACCACGCAGGGAGCCACTGCCTTCTCGTCGAGATGTTTATTTGTCCCCGAGAGATGATGGATATTCCACTAAAGACAGGTAACAGTAAAGTGCATTTTCTTTTAAGAGTCACATTGAAAGAAAGCACACCAGAAGCAGACACCAAATTTACTTTTTTATAGCTATTCAAGCAGAGACTATCCAAGTTCTCGAGATACACGAGATTATGTGCCACCACCAAGAGATTATACTTATCGTGATTATGGTCATTCCAGTTCACGAGATGACTATCCATCAAGAGGTTATAGGTAAGTGGCTACTTCTATGATTGCTTATAAGAATTTTCTGTAAGACTTCATGCCTTGAGGGCTTGAGAGGTAACTTAAGCTGTTAAAAGCACTTTACAAATATCCCTGGCTACACAAGTTCCATCATTGAAACCTGTGTAAAGGTGGGAGAGAAGACATTCTGCATGCAAAATAGTCTTTTGATCTCTACAGGGTGACCACGCCATGCTTATTTCTCCTCTCATACACAATTTTTACATTAGGCAGCTAAAAACAAAACAAAGAGATTTGAGAATTTGAAAGCCCTGTTTTGTTTTTTTTGGTTTTTTTTTTTTGCCTTTTTAGGATTGGGAAATTTTTAGAATTTTTTATGAAATAATTAAATATTTAATTTAATGTATTCTAATTAAAAATTGCTTTTTCTTTAGTGATAGAGATGGATATGGTCGGGATCGTGACTATTCAGATCATCCAAGTGGAGGTTCCTACAGAGACTCGTATGAGAGTTATGGTAAGATACCGGCTAAGGATCTTACTCTCACCAGCTTGAGGTTTTAGGTTCATGAGCTGGATTAATAGGCTGTGTGGTGCTTGCTTTTAAAAGGGACATTTGCTTGCTTTCAAGGGGTAACTTTATCAGCTGGGCTTTTCCTAGTTTTGTGAAGGGTATTTTGGTTCTTTCCTTGTTTCGTTTTTGTTATTTTGCTTTTTTTTTTTCTTTTGAGGCTGTTCGCTTGCTTTGGAGGGGATTTTGCTTGCTTAAATTGGCAGCCTTATGTGTTTTCCCCCAACAGTGAAAATACAATTTAAAAATTTTATTAACCAGATCAATATTTACCATTGCAATATGAAGGAAACTCAACAGTTCAAAAATTGCAACTTATCACTGGAAAGTGGCTGAGTGTCTACTCTAAATAACAAGCTGTCTGGAATGTCCTCTTGAAATACACAACGTCTTCAGTCTTTTCAAACAAACATTAAAATCAATCCATACCTCAGCAGATGAGAAATTCCCTCTTATGGCCAGCAATGGTAGAGTTTAAAACTTCCCAGTTGAGAAAGTAAACTTTTAATACAAAGAATTCTGTAAATTCAGATTTAAATGTTGTATATATACAATTTATAGTGTTGCCATATTACCTGACCATTGACCCTGCAGGTAACTCACGTAGTGCTCCACCCACACGAGGGCCCCCGCCATCTTATGGTGGAAGCAGTCGCTATGATGATTACAGCAGCTCACGTGACGGATATGGTGGAAGTCGAGACAGTTACTCAAGCAGCCGAAGTGATCTCTACTCAAGTGGTCGTGATCGCGTGGGCAGACAAGAACGAGGGCTTCCCCCTTCTATGGAAAGGGGGTACCCTCCTCCACGTGATTCCTACAGCAGTTCAAGCCGCGGAGCACCAAGAGGTGGTGGCCGTGGAGGAAGCCGATCTGATAGAGGGGGAGGCAGAAGCAGATACTAGGAACAAACAAAACTTTTGGACCAAAAATCCCCATTCAAAGAAACAAACAAAAATGGAAACTTTGTCATAAACTACCCAAGGACTACTAAAAGGAAAGATTATGTTACCTTTTTAAAATTTCCTGTTCCCCTTAATAATTTTTATGTTCTTGTGAGGGAAAAAAATAAGACATGTTTAATTTTATTTGCTATTATGAGTTGCTTTCAACAAGCAAATGATAGAGATGTGTAAGACTTGTTACTAGTGTTGTACTTTTCCAAGTAAAAGTGTCCCTGAAGGCCACTTCCTGATTTTTCCCAGTCAGTGAGGCAAGCAATCCCAAGATCTTCCACAAACTCTCAGCCATCTAGATGTTCTCTGGTCTCCATTGAGAGATGAATCACCCTGCCTGTGCAGACAGCTAGCCATTAGAGAGGGTTGGTTGGGTGTGCTACTTTCAGGATTTTAGGGTATCTTCCAACTGAAACCTCAAATGTTCGCAGTATATATATTAAAACAAACAAACAAACCTGAGATCCGATGCCTAGGGATGTACCCAGAAACCCAAAAAAAAGCAAATGGATACTGGCCATATTTTGCTTTTCTGACATTTCCTTGGGAATCTACAAGAACCTCCCTTCCCCTCCCTGAGTAAGACCATTTAAGTGTGTGTTAAACAACTACAAAATACTCAATAAAAAGTTTGGCCAAAATCAACCATGAAGCTGCAAAACGATGCTTGCTCTTACTGTTTCAAATTTTTGCAACTCTGTAGTGTCTCACTTTTAAAGGAACAGCTTGATTGCAAAGGAGAAAATAGATAAGCAATGAAGTTATCTCCAACTTCCTAAAGGCTTATGACTTCTAAAAAGTGAATCTGTCAGCATTCCACATCAGATTTAAAGCACCAAATGCCTGTGAAACAGCAAAGATGGTAAGCAAAGCAAACTAGTTTTTCCGTCTAAGTCGAAATTGAGCACTTACCTCCCTCATAGTCCAGTGACGCCTACTGTACTTCATGGCAATGGAAATGCCTTCTAGATTAAAAAAAAAACTTGGAAAAAACCCACAAATGGTCAATAGCATATTAGAAGTCCTCCAAATTCAACACTTGGAATTTTTTTAACGCATGTATGACACTTAGAGGCATTAATGCAGCCATTTTGTTTATCAATAGCAATCTGGGAACTGGGAGGGGGTAAATTTTTTCTTACATATTTTTGATGAAGACCTGTAAACATGCTTCATTTTGTGACTTTTTTTTCAAATTAGTCTTTTAGTCAATATAAGAAATGGCTTAGGATTGGGGTCCCCCTGTCTGACCCCTATAAGCCATTGCAAACTTGACCTTTATTTAGTTGGATGCCTGACTTGTTTTAGTTCTATGAAACTACACTGTATGGAGAAAAAAAATCTATTGCAAGTGGTCTTTAAAAAAGCAAAAAACCTGAGGCAGCATGACCCAGGTCCAGCCATGAAGTTGAAAAAGATGCTCTTGAATATAGTAAACTTGAAGACCTCCAACTAAAAATCCTTAGACTGCACTTATTCCTTCAAATGTTTTGTCGGTTCAACTTATGGATTTAACGTGGCAGTGCACCATTGGAAAAGAATGAGAATCCATAAGCCATGCAACTTAACCATTTAAGCCATTCCAGTCCATTCCAAGCCAGTGAACCTTCCACCAATTAAGAGAAGTAGTAGAACATGAAATATGCATTAAGCTGCAAGTCTGAACTTGCCTGTTCTTTCTGGAAAAAGGCGGTGGGGAGTGGGGAGCAGTTATAGGCAAGTGTTCAAGAACTTCCTTTAGAGAAATAAGTAGTTTTCATTTATGTAATTTTTGCAGGTTGAACCTAATGGTCATGTGGTCATGGAGTGCTGATTGATTCACAGTAGATAAAGCTGGCAGTAAGGAACAGTCAGATGCTCAGGTAAGTGTTGGAAGCAGTGTTTAAATACTTTGTCACTGGGTGGCCGTGGGACTGGCAAGCATTTTCTGACCTTTAATTCATCGTGAAATGTGGATAATGCTCAACTCTGGACATTCAGATGAAGTTATTTTGTCATGGAACATCTAGCCCATCCATTTTGAGTGAATGTATACAGATGTATTTTCATTTAGAGTATCAGTAGTATGGTAGTACAAGCTGTTTCTGAAAGTTACTAATAGCTCTTGCCTGCAGGACTTCTTATTAAAAGAGCCTATCTAATTAATGGTTTGCTGTGTGAGCAGTGTATGAATTGCATGCTGTTGGAGCTTGCTTATTTTCAATTGACTAGTTAAGTGATACAGCTGCTACTGCAACTTCCAAATTTCGTGGGCACAAGGTGGCAGGGTATCTGATTTTAATGTGACAAAACTAATGCTTATAGTAGTAGTTGTAATGAATATAGCCACCTTTGGAAGCTGGCACTTTAGAGCTAATACTTAAACCGAAAACCCAAGATTGAGGTACTTTACATTGTAAAATTCTCTGTAACTTGATCCCATGCTTTTTTTTGCAGAGTTGTTGAAGCAGAGGAATGCTGAGACTAAGCTACAGCAGTTACTTACCCAGTGTGCATCAGAATTGGTTTGGTACAGGCAATAGATTTTTTTTTGTCTTCAAGGGAGGGAGGCTAATAATGAAACCTAATCAGTGCTGGTTAAACCTTAATTAGGGAGTGGTAATGACTTAAAATTGACTGCAAAGAAGGAGACTAATTGTTAAGTGGAGGTACCTACCCAAGAAGTTCCGGTGACTCTTTGTAGAGGTTCAGTAGTTCCAGCAAAGTAATGGAGCAACTCTGCAATTTAGAGCTGATCACTGACTAGAGGAAACTTGAATTAGCTGGGACTGTAACTCCATGGTGGAGTGCTTGCCTAAGTACCAGTGAGGCCTAGAGTTCAACCCCTGCCAGAACACACAAACATTTCAGTCAGAAAAATTACACCTCAGTGGTAACTTTATTCACTGATGTCTGAGTTTCAGCAAGGAGCCCATTTGATGAATTGCCTCATCAGTAAGAAACATTATCAATTGTCCTGTAAAACTTAGAAGGGGAAGGGCAGTACTGGGAAATGGAAATAAAAACTGGAAACATTGTTAGATTAGTGGAGAGCATATTGGAAACAAAAAATAGGTCACTGGGTCATTGTAGTTTTATAAAGGTACTTTACACTCAGGTCTCCATCTTGGAAACGAATCATGATACAACTCTAGTTTACTTACTGCCTTGGAAACTAAGAGCCAGTAATGTAAAAGCAGATATTTTCAACAGAAGCGGGTTGAATTATAGGGTCAAAAAATTTAACTCAACTGCGATTTTTCTTAAGAATTTGTTATAATACTGTTATAGTTGAGGGAATTTCAAGACTTCAATACTCTAATCAGGCCTGGAGTGGGTTCTTCTGTCAAGACTTTTAGCCTCTTGACATTTTATGTACATTTTTTAGTTTGTCATTGTCAATACTACACTGAATATGAATATTAAATTTAAAGTAGGGAGTACATAGAAAATTTTAAGAGACTTTTTTGACAAATGATAGAATATAGAACCAGCAGGCCTAAAATCTGTAATTAGAAAAAAATTAGCCTTGATTCTTCTGGCTAAAGTCTGGTTATAGAAGAATTTGAATAATACAGTGTTGTGGTGTATTTGGTCGCTGGATGTAGAACATACGTATTATAGGTCATTTTTTGGAATGTTTTGCATTGAAACCCAATAAAACTTGAACATGTGTCTTTGTGGTGTTGGGTTCTTTTTTTTTAAGTCCTTTTTGTAAGTAGAAATTCATTTTAGGCTTTTCAGGTTTTTTTCCACCTAATTTTCCTCCCCAAACTTCAGTTCTGGGGCACTGTTGGTACAGGGACATCCAGAGTCCCTGAGATGTCTGACCACTGGCCTTCCTCTACTATGACAAGTTAAAACCTTAGTTAAACATGATGATTCAGGTGGTTTCCTTAATCCTTTACCTAAAAATGAAATGAGGGCTATCATACTTAAGAAGTCAAGGCTCATATACCAATGACTTCCTCTGTTGCATCAACCTGATTTCTTGCGTATCTTGGAATAATTTTCCCCCTTTGAGTTAGATTCCCTAAGAAAGGCTCCCAGAAGACTCTTACCTTAACAGGTATACCTAGTAACTCAGAGTATAAGATTGGGTTTTTCAGTGTGACCTCTGGGACTACCCATGTAACATGTATCATGTTCCACGATCCAGCTGGCCTTCAGAACTGTTTCTTGCTAATTCTGTTTTCTGTCTAGGTTGAAGTAGAGAATGGTTTTCCAGTGAGTTTAAATCCCAGTTTCCACATTACCACTTGTGGGGACTTTGGAGAAATTAACCTCTAGTTGATCTTTCACCTGTAAAGGTTGATAGTATGTATCCCAGATGTAGAGGAGATTGAGTTCATGAACCTGGCTCATATAGTAAAAGCTACATAATTATTAAATGTTATTATTTTCCATCAGTTTCCTCTTGTGTTATCTTCAGGGCTGGGCTTTGGAACTCAATATCTTCTGTTTCCCCTTTTGTTAGAGACTGAAAGTTCTTACAAGCTGAATTTTTTGAAACACTTTATTTCAGAGGCTTGGGGAAAAGTTGTAGAAGGTCTACACTGTCTGCTGTCCTGCGCAGGGCAGACCATTGCTAAGAGGACAAGCTGATTTTTTTTTTCTCGGTTAGTCATATTCAGTTGTTACATTATGATTAGTCCACAAGTGTTCTCATTCTGTTTTCACTTTCCTCCATCCACACTCCACCATTAGCAACTATTTTAATATCATGTATGTCCTTATGTATAAGATCTTATTAATTAAATATATATCAGGGTTTTGTTTGTTTGACAAGGCTCTATCTACATAGTCTGGCTGTCCTGGAAAGTTAGAGATTCACCTGCCTCTGCCTGCTGAGTGCCACCACACCCAGCCTTCATATTGATATTTTTGAGACAAGGTCCCCACAGAACATAGACTGACCTTGAACTGCTGACTTCCCTCTTTCTTTAGCATGTGAGGTTTATACCACACTGTACTGCCACAGAGTTTTTGAGGTTCTGGGAATAGAGCTCAGGGCTTATGTTCATGCCAGGCAAGCACTCTACCAAGTTATATCCCCAGCCCCATATTAGTCCATAGCCTTTATTCCATGCTGACACTCCACCTATATTTTGTCTATGCATTCTTCCCAGCTTGATTCATATACCTATAGGTTGTGTGTCCATGCCTGCTCAGATCATTCTGACTTTTGACTCTGGCTATTCAACTGTGGGTTGAATATGGTTGTGGTGAATGTAGAGGAAGTTAGAATCTTTCAAATTGTCCCTTTTTAAGCAGAAGAAGGCTTATTTCTACAGTCTATAGGACGAGGTGTTTTGGGTTAAGCTGGGAAAGGTCCAGGTATCAATGTTCTGTCACATGAGAGACTAAGATTCAGGTGTCATTCTTAGTTCTTCACAGCTGATATTCAGCAGTATCTGTCAGATTATAAGAAATAAGCTTCTGTAGAGCTATTGGGAAGCTCTGATTCTCAGAGCAACTTGTGCTGAACACCTGAGCTTGCAGTTTTCTTTGTAAGCACAAGTAAAAGTCAAGACTTCAAGCAATCTCTGAAGGTCATCCCTACTGCTACTATAGTGAACTTGGGATTTCAGTTGGTACTTTATGAATCACAAAGTAGCTTGATTATGATGTTCCTGTCTGCCAGACATTTGTAGCAGCTCATTTCCGCTAAGTATTGTGCTGTCTGAAGACATTGCTTAACAGACCCCATATTGTGGGTTTACCTGATCAGGCTGGATTCAAAGAGGAGAGAGAACAGAGTATTCTGTACAAAGAAAAGAGTAATGGAAGAAAAGGAAATCAAAAAGTACAGGAACACCAGATAAAATAAGAAACATTACATTACTCTAGTCGATACTGGTAGAGGTGAGATTAGAGTACCTAAGGGACCGGACAGTGGTGGCACACACCTTCAATCCCAGCACTTGGGAGGCTGGGGCAGGCAGATTTCTGAGTTCGGGCCAGCCTGGTCTACAGAGTGAGTTCCAGGACAGCCAGCACTACACAGAGAAACCCTGTCTCGAAAAACCAAAAAAAAATTTTCTTCTCTAGAGTACCTAAGGGAAGAGGACCCCCCCTACACCTTTCTAGTCTTGAAAAGCTACTGCAGGGCTGTTCTAGAAAAATCAAGGCAGCCTCACCACTTACTTAATGAAAACATGGAGAGGCATGGTTGAGACTTGTTTAAGGGATACTGGTGCCACACTAGCAGAACCTACTGGAAATCTGCTCTGGCTGCTGGAGGATCTACATAAGGAAGTGTCTTGCTGTACTGTAAAAACAGCCTATGGTTGTTTCTGGGAACTCTGTAGAGACCAGAACATATGTGCCCTGAAGGAGCGTAACCCAGACAGGCTCCTCAGGCTAGAGACGTCTGTGCTGTGGAACCAGGGAACAAAACCAAGTCCTGCGGTGGCTTACTAATACTCCACTGTCAAGACCTCAAGTGTGCCAGCTGGCAAAGGGTCAGAATTTCGTGGAGACAGAATTAATTTGGAGTCAGACTATAAAGGGTACTGGTGGTCACCTAAACTCCTTTGTAATTAAAAAAAAATAAATGTTTTTCCTGAAAATGTCATAGCCAGGCATGGTGATTACACATTTTTAAATCCCATCACTTAATCCCAGCTAGATTTCTCTAAGTTTGAGGCCAGCCTGATCTAAACAGAGCCTAGATTGACCTTGAACTCTTACCCATACTTCCCAAGTGCTGGTATTACAGGTCCGTACCACCACTGTAACTAGTTTATGTGGTGCTGGGAATGGAACCAAGGTGTTTTTGCATTGCTGTGCTAACACTCTATCAATTGAACTGTGTTCTCACCCCATTCTTTAACACAACCCAATACCTTACTTAGTTGTGAAATAGTATGCACTTTAGGCAAGTGTGGTGAGCCATACCTGTAATCATAGCATTTGTAGTTTAGGACTAGAGGATCAGCTGTATCCATTTCATAGTTTCTTGATTTGTAGGTAACGTAGCTGAGATTTAATTACTTTGTGGACTGAGCCTTTTGCATTCTACCTGTTTGTTTTATTGTGGGATTGACTGACCTATGACCTTGTGTAACTGAGTTATATCTTCAGTCTGTTCCTTGGTTTGCTTTGATAAGGTATTTTGAGACAGTTTCACTAAGTAGCCCAGTCTGGCCTAGATTGTTCTATTGTAGACCAGCCTGGCCTCAAGCTCTTCCTGCTTTTGCCTCCCACATGCTAAGATTATTGGCATTAGTCAACATACTTTGCTTAACTGTTTTTTGAGGCAAGATCTTGTAAGGCTAGCCTTGAACTTAAACCCTTTCAAGTACAAAAGTTTCGAATGTGTACCACCATGCCCAGTTTTATGTGCTTTAGGCAAGCACTCTACAAGCTGCTGAGATATATCTCAGCCCTGGCTTGGCTTTTTAAAAAAGTATTTGTATTTTATGCATAGGAGTTTTTTATGTGCATGTGTATCTGTGTACCACTTGCTTAACTGGTGCCTGAGGAGTCTAGAAGAAGATGTCTGATCACTTATAGATGGCCAAGAGCTGCCATATGGTGGGTCTTCTTCAAGAACAGCCAGTGCTCTTAACTGCTGAGTCATCTCTCTCTTCCCTGGCCAATAAACAGGAAAAGATAGACATTCAACCTCATTAGAAAATGCAAATCAGAACTGTTGAGATTCTATTTACTCTATTCAGAATGGCACTCATTAAGAAAAGAATAGCAATGAATACTGGCAAGGATGTGGAGAAAAGGGGACCCTTATTTACTGATTGTATGAATGTAAGCTTGGACAGCCATTATAGAAGCCAGTATGGGGTTTCTTAAACTAAAAATGTATCTTGGATATAACCTAAGCTATACCATACCTGGGTATTTACCCAAAGGACTTCAAATCAACTATTAGAGAGATACTTCTACATCAGTGTATACTATTCACCAAAACTAAGTTAGGAACCAGCCTAGTTGTCCAAGAGAGGAATAGTTAAAGAATCTGTGATACGTGTACAAAAGGGATTTTTTCAATCATGTTCTTTATAGGAAAATGAAAACAACTGGAAATAATCATTAAGAGAAAAAACAAATTGGTTTTCTTTCACTTTTTGTTGCTAAATTTTGTGTAAACAGAATCATTCATTCATATGTTACATGACTGTAAAGTGACGCTGTTTAGAGGGACCAAGGCCAGGGAGAAGAAGAAAAAATTGGGGGGGAGGGGTATAGGTGAGAATATATTCAACATAATGCATACTTAAAACATTTACATCTCTTTTGAAACTTTGATTTATAGCGGGGCATGTGTGCAAACATGTATTTCCATTTCCAGGACATTCTGTGAGAAGGGAACCATGTGAGAGGAGCCCCAGGTTTACTCCTGCCTAGGGACACATTTTCTGATAGCATCACACAGGGAAGTAGAGTCTGAGCACTGAGCACAGTACGTAAGTGTTACTGGACATGGGGCAGAGGTCACAACTGGAGTTTCAGAGAGGAAGAAAAAGCACAGGGTCCCCCAAATGTCACTTGGAGCGTTCCTTGTGGGTCATTCATTAACAACTAGCTTGAACATTCAGTGTGACATTTTTCCAGGCCTAGAAATAATTCTAGCTGCTGTGGAGTTGAAAGAAGAACAGAGATACTAGTGTTGAAGCCCCTGGGACTCTGACCTAGCCAGAGTGGAGTCAGCTTCACA